CACAAACAAACTAACTGTTTCCAGCTGTGGTTCGGTCAAAGATAATTTTTGGGCTCAGGCTGATCGCTGATCGAAGAGAACTCTTGGATGATACTTTGTCGCACTGGTTGGAGTTGTGAACGTGTGATTCAACCGTCTGACGGGAGAAAATGTGCATTGTCACGACTTAGGTTTCATACTCATATTGTCAGATGACATTCTTCGAACGCTGTTTAACCTTACACTACCTCACCTATCGCGAATAGCAAACTAGCTTTCGTAGCGGGCTTGGCTACGTAGACTAAATATTTACAGCAACAGAATCCTGTGCACGGTCACGTTTAACAACTACAAGCGACTTCCGACTAAGTTGCTAGAACTGCTCTTTGGAACTCACTCACCAAAAACGGTGTGTCGAATAAATTTGTAAAGATCTTGTGGGCATCATGCTACGAAATCTTTCCAGCTGTGGTTCGGTCAAAGATAATTTTTGAGCTCAGGCTGATGGCTGATCGAAGGGAACTCTTGGATGATACTTTGTTGCACTGGTTGGAGGTGTGAACGCGTGATTCAACCGTCTGACGGGAGAAAAGGTACATTGTCACGACTTACGTTTCATACTCATATTGTCAGATGACATTCTTCGAACGCTGTTTAACCTTACACTACCTCACCTATCGCGAATAGCAAACTAGCTTTCGTAGCGGGCTTGGCTACGTAGACTAAATATTTACAGCAACAGAATCCTGTGCACGGTCACGTTTAACAACTACAAGCGACTTCCGACTAAGTTGCTAGAACTGCTCTTTGGAACTCACTCACCAAAAACGGTGTGTCGAATAAATTTGTAAAGATCTTGTGGGCATCATGCTACGAAATCTACCAGTAAGTGTGGTTTTAGACTCTGCTATCAGGAAACGTCCCCATCACCAGCTCCAAGGCTATTCAATAAACCATTCCTGTTCAACTTTTGTTCTCTATATCATAAGAACCGGTCTATTGTCAGTGGACAGTGGTGGCAAAAGCGGTGGCGCAAACCTGCCGCTTCTGGCAACGAATGTCTCAACCACCGTAGACGGTTAAGTGCGTGATCGTTGCCTCCATTCCATCAAAGCGCGCCCGCAGGAAGCCCTCCGCATCTCGCATTCGTTCGGTTCAGTGAACATGTGTCTATCTCAAGCAACACATTAGGAAAACACTGAAGGTCGCGCCGATTTATGATCAGTGTTTGAATATCGCACAAGAGGACAGATAGAACCTTGTAGAATGCAACTGGGTCTTTATTCGCAGACTCCGATTGGTCCACGCCCGTTTCTCGATTTTGCCGATAATCACACTAGCCTTGGTGTCTCATTTTACGGTCGACTGTCAAATCAGTAGAAAGTGTGCTTCAGAGTTAACAGAAGTTCGTCCATTACTCTGCAAACCCTGCTCCATTCTCGATGCGCGGAATCATGGAGACTACAAGCAGTGCAGCATGGTCTTTTCGTTGATGATCAGGCGGAACTCCGCTCAGCTAGGCGTTGCAGTTCGTCATGGGTATGTATCGGCAATAAACGGTCGTCCACAAACATAAGAATGTGTACCCTGTTCTGATGAAACAGACTCTCATCAAAACGCTCAATATCGAACATATTTCCATCAGGTCGAAGTCTTTATCTGTACACCAACGTCCTCGCACACGAAAGCAGCATCTAAGATAGCCATTGGACGACATTTGGAAAGAGCATGGGCAAGGACGCAACTTCGTTTTATGTCGGTGAGAATTTCGAAATAACTTGAAGTTGACCCATTCGGTTGAACGTTCGCTCCTTTTCAGCCATGTAGGCTTCAGATGAGATTGATGGGTTTTGGTGGACAGCCGTACATTGAAAGCACTATCTAAAATACTTGCCGTTTGATGTAGTCGAGTCTATGGGAGGGCATGAGGCGGCTGGCGATATTTGCACGAGGCTTTTTGAGGTTCTCATGCAGCATACTTCAGCTCCGGGACCGATTCCACATTTTTCGTTGGTGTTTGTCCATTTCAGCAGTCAGGCATTTGAGTAGCATCCGTGATTGAAGCTCGCCGGTGCAGCTCAACATACCGATACCTTTGTAATTGTCACGTGAAGTCTCGTTTCCTTTTACTTTGTACAGTTGCGCATTTAAAGTATCCCTGAATTTCAGTTGCACGTCCCTGCCATATCATACCGGTCAGGAAGTATATTCTTTACGGTCGTGGCGCCATGTAATATGCAGTATTATAATTCAATACATATGTATGAACGTGAGTTGGCAGTGGAAGTAAACCGATAACCTAGAAGCCAAAATCGGGGTCTTAAAAACATGTGCTTGGTATCGCTTCTCTAGACGACAAAGAGAGCTATGTACCACAAGATCTTAATCGCCAAACCATGAGGAACTTGCGGTCGAAAAGTAATCCACTGTATGAATACTACTGGGTGCCAATGGTTTTTTTCGACATTCAGCATCAAACTGATGTAAGGAACAGGTGATTACGCAAAGAGATGGAATAATCACCCTTTTGTTGCGCAACGATACTGTCCCATTTGTTTTCATAATCATCGGAGCTGTTCCTGGCATATTTCCGCCGTATCTTTTAAGAAACCACCAGCATCTGTGATAAGTTATCAGTCGCAAACGTACTGTATTGGTTGTAAAGCAGTTCTAGAGTTGCGTTTTTGTTAGCAGGAGAATCAGTTGAAACTCACCTGCATCCTAGTGGGGTTCTGGACGGTTTCATTGATATAACTTGGTTTTAGGGATCTTTCTCTGTGTGTTAGATCGATATTGAGGTCATTTGAGCTTGACTCAGCCACCCTCTCGACTTTTCACAAAACCGCTTTTCTGCCACTTGACTGTCATGACTTGATGGCAAACAAGGCGAGACCTTCATGCTACTCGGTGGTCTCCATTCGACCCTGATGTAACGCTGATTACGGTTAGCTCACTGGTCACAGTCATACACTACAGCTCATCGAATAAACTGGTAGTTCGTCCTTTGAATTTAACTGAATCTAAGGGTTGATGCTGAGTAACGCTGATTACGGTTAGCTCACTGGTCAAAGTCATGCACTACAGCTCATCAAGTAAACTGGTAGTTCGTCCTTTGGATTTAACTGAATCTAAAGGTCGATGCTGATCATGGCTTTCTGAGGGCTTATTTCAAGCAACTGGGGTCCAAGCCAGGTTTAATAGATAGCTTACGAACCAAAGTTTTTTTGGTGTTAACGTGTTTTAGGCATGCTTGTCATCCGTGTGCTCATCCACAGGTCACAAGACCTGGGAGATTTAACAAAACTCGGAAATGTGTGCCGCAATCAATGGAGTGCGCTAGTTCTTGGGTAGTTGTAAGAGAATCGTGTGTTGTTAGTCAGTGTTTTCGAGGGCTACAGGAATTTGTAGAGGATGTTACAAACTTTCACCAACAATACTAGTGTTGGGAGAGGGACGATGTAATGTGCTCACTTGCCAGTTGCTCACTCTAGTGAAATAGAATTCAGGTCTTGGTAGATTTTTGGTACGTCTTTAATTTACCACTGCATAGTCAAATGTTTATGGTAGGGTCGTTCCTGGAGAGGCGAGTTGTGGTGTGCGAGTGTTAAGGTTGAACTGTCTGAAACTATGATGGAAGCAGGCAATTTCTGGATGATCACGTGGAATCTGTGGGGTTTCTGTTACTGACTGGTGCATATTTCGAAGTAGATCACTTACTCTGCCGAGGGCAACCGCTCGTAAGGTTGCTGAAAACACCTCGACGGCCCACGACCGGTCTCGCGCTTCTTGGGACTCGTCAGGTAGGCGCGTTCTGCTTGTTTCGTCAACTTCTTTTCTACTTGTTCGTGTTCAAGTACAACACGAGCTTGATAGAAAATCAGGGATTGCGTCTACTGACCGTGGTTCGAACCGGACCTCTGCCTCTCAACTTCCCTTGTCCAGGCTTGGACAACCTGACAATATCCCAACCCTCGTGCTTCCTTTGAGTGGCATGACAGCTAGGCACGGAAAGGGTGTTACAGCTAAAAGAATAAAGAAGAATAGTTCTCAGCACTTTCGCGAGTAATTTCGTTCAAGAAAATGTAGTGTCGTGTCCCGAATATCGTACCGTGAAACGTGAGACGGCCTTTGTGCAGCAGATTCTTTTGAATAATATCATGAACGAGACGGGATGCAGTTCAGTCCCTCGTCAGAACCGGATTGGCTCACAACTGAGTGCATGTCGCGTACACCGATGATACCTTAATCTCTTTAAAAGTGAATGAGGATTTTCTTTTGAAAACAGGACATAACAGTCGAAAGTCACAGATAGCATAAAAAGAAGCTAAGCAGTCCAGGCCCTGATCAGTTTGGAATTGTGCTTTAATGATTTCAGGCGGCAAAATCGGTCTAGTAACACGGAAGTTTTCTTTTTTGTTCTTCTTAACGTCCTGGCATAGTAATGTTGGGTCATTTGAGAGCCTACTTACTAAAAAAAAAAACAGAAAATTCTCCATCCTCCTGACGGGTCCCCTTTTTAGGGAGATATCTATAAACGACTGATTTGTGCTTGTTATCGGCCGTGTGGCTAGCACGTGAAACTGATAGTAGTCCGAAATTTTTGTATTTTCTTATATAGTCCTCCAGTCTAGCTCACGCGGTTACTTTGCAGACCCAATTCACTAGTCAGTCGGAAATCAATGGTTTAAGTGGTGCTGTGGTGACCCTTTGAGGCAATCACAATACCAATTGGTATTTCTGTCGGCTGTTGTTTGTCTATATGTTAAATTACGTAAACGCGAAGGCCGCCAAAGTTGAATAGAGTGAAGCTTTCGTTAACTGAAGGTCACTGTTACAGAAGATTTCGGAAGATAGTTTGGAAGGTCATCATTTTGACGCAGAAGGTCTCCTAGTTCAAATAAACTGTAAAGCAACCAATCAGTGATTTCTTTTGTGAACAGGTAGGTCAACATAGATATGTCGATGGTTGCTCACTGGCTGCTTCTTTATATGGGTGAAGGTAACCTTTGATCATTTCTTTTGCGTCAATAACCCTTGCAATTCAGTAACTACGCTAACCTACGTCATCATATGGATATATCCCGTGAAAATGAGGTCATCAGCATTGCTGCGAGTTGATTGCGTTTTTAACTTATCCTCATGGATGTCTTCTGATGGTGGTGTTTCGGAACCTCTCATAATAGACATCTGGATGTGAGGTTATGAGTTCGAAAACTACTATTACTTGACACATGAAATACCAATATTTTTCGAATTTTTGATAAGCACTTTGTGTCCTCAAATCCCCCCTCTTCACACTACCAAGATGTCGTCCTTATGAGGTTACAGCTGCGTAGGTGAGACGTTACTTGTATATACTGACTTAGGTGTGGGAAATTGACTACCATCATGTGGCTCATGTTAGCCAAGTGACCCCCTTTTCTCTTCTTTCTTCGTAATTTACAAGCCCAAACTTGCCTACAAACTCCATTCCTAGCGAATTTTCTCAGGAGAACTAATCGGCGAAATTGTTTCAGCACGAGCGTCTCACCCTAGGAAGTTACCGTGAACCCACTTGAGGACTGGTTACCTTCATTCCCTTGTATCAGTCGAAAGCATTGTATCCTGCTACAGTTTTCAAGTACTGGACTTCGGACGGGTTGTGAGGTAACAGTACTGTACTTGTCATCCAACCACTGCTTTTTTTCAGTATGCTGTCACTAACCCTTGAGTGAAATTCCAAGTGGTTAGAGCGCGAATTTACTGACCGGAAGGTCCGTGGTTCGAACCCGACCTCTGCCACTCGACTTCCCTTGTCTAGGCCTGGGCGACTTGCCAGTATCCCAGCTCTCGTACTTCCTCCGGGTAGCATGGCAGCTAGGCACCGGAAGGGTGTTACGGCTGAACAATTATTATATATTATTTATTCACCGCCGTTGATAAACGGTTGACATTTGGATAGGTTGCCGTAGTTGTATGGTATGGACTTAAGAGGTTTTGTCATTGCAATTTGCAAACCAACGTCGATACCTTCGTCATCTGCAGGCCAAACATATTGGGTGTTGCTCACGCTCGGGTGACAAATGGGTCAACAGCCACGTAATCAGATGAAAACTGATATCAAGGAACCTAACACCACAGGGGACAATCAAGTAGAGGCGTAGTTCTCACGAACAACAGGAGCAACAAAATAAGTCACAGAAATAGCCGATGTCAACCTTGTGATTCATTCCCAGTGAATGGGTCGCCACCCGGAGATGTATTTAGCTGCTGTAATCACGGTTCTGCTGCGTGTTAGTGGACAACTTTATCATTCAACCCGTGTCGGTCGTTCCGGTGTCACACCCGATTATCTCGCTACTTAATTTTTTAAGGCCTTGATGACAACAAATCAAGTAGGTAGGCTGCACCTTGCATAATGAAGCTTATTTGCTGCAACATGCGTGTTGGTCCGGTGACCTGTGTCATTCTCATAACTTTATTTTCAGGAATACGTCATCAATCTGTCCTGCGGATTTGGTGTCCAGAAGTTGTCTACTCCTCTAGCCAGTGGTCAGGTTTGGACTATAGGTTGTGTACAGGCAATCGTAACTTTCGTCGAGGTCAATATTGTCCCCGTAGCTGGTGCTCTCAGCGGAATCGCAGCACTGCAGGTTTGTTTGGACCTCTCCAGGCTAATTTCTCTCATTATTTTTATGTCACATTACCTTTCCCAGATTTATTATTGGACGAAATTTAGCTAGCTTACCATCCCCTTGCGTGCAGCTGTCGCTTATGGGAGGACAAAGGACAGCGCATAATCATGATCTCTTCTGAATGGAATGGATCTGACTGGCAACGAAACCTCTTCATCCGAATCACCCAGCTCATCAAATAAACCAACGGGTTTTTAACTCCACTTTACCGTTGGAGGACTCCACAGGAACCACTGCGCTTATGTTGATGCGCATTGTATATTAACTCGGGTTTCCATCCCTAGATGTTATTCTATTTTTGCTTTTTGGCTGTTTCATTGTGCCACTCAATTTATGTCACATTACGTGCCTTCTGGTTGCCACTAGATAAATGATTTTGTGCAATGAAGGGGTTGCTCTTGTGATGGTGTACTGTCTTTCGGCCAACAGTACTGCCAACACTAGTATACCTGAATTCGAAATCAGTTATTATTAGTGTCAAATGCGTTGACTTTCCCTTAAGCCAAGGTCTATGTAGGCTTTCCCAATCCCGCCGGGAACCTTTGATTATTTAGCTGGCAACATCACTGAAACTGTCCAATAGTATGAAATAGCTGGGTAGTAGAAAAAGTAGACGGCAGTTAGTCGCACGCGCGATGGCTCAGTGGTTGCAGTACGAATTCGCTGACCGAATGGACAGAATGGTTCCAACACAACCTCTGCTTCCCGACTTTTCCTGTCTAGGCTTGGGCAACCTGGCAATATCCCAGTCTTTGTGCTTCCCTCTGGTGGCATATCAGTTAGGTGTCGAAAAGGTGCTACGGCTAAACGACTTTTTGCACGCGTGAACCTAAATTGGAAATTCATCGGACACCCGATTGATTTTGACCTGTAACAGTAAGCTGATAAATTACATGTGGAAAGCTGTTCACTGGCACAACCCAGCCCGGTTGCAACGATTCATTATGGGACATACTACAGGAAATCAAACTATAACTGTTTCTGAAGCAGACAGGAACACTGGCAATCATGTTCTTTTATACGGTTGAGAATATGCCGCCTCAATAGGACTGTCACTGCGCCTCTTTAATGAGCGTGATGAGTGAACTGCTTCAGGTTATTTGCCGACTCTTTTCTTAAGCGTTTTCCACTTGTCAGCAGCGACATTGAAATGTGTTTCCCGCGCACCGCACCAACAACACCCAAACTCTTCGTGATTTCTTTCACCCTCTTCCGTCAAGTCATGCGTTGTCCACCTCGCGGTTTGTCCCATTCAAAAGAGGTACGTAGAACAGCACTCGTCTCGGTAGACGGTGTTTGGCATACGTAGCACTTGACCGAGCCATCGTAGTAGGTGATTCTGGATGTTTTCCCTGATTGAAGTACCTGCCGGACAACCAGATAACTCGTTTTCTACTCACCTAGGTACTAACACGCTGACACCATCCAAAACCAACCACGCTCTTGAGGCATCAGTGGTCAAAAACGTGAAGATGCCTCACATCATCTGTCCGCAGAGGCCACGTCTCGCACCCATATAACAACACAGCCCTTGCTGTAGCCTGGTACACGCGACCCTTAAGATTTAGTGGTATGCCTTTTTGACGCCCCAAGTAGCGCAGATTAGCAAACGTGATTCAAGCCTTTGAGATTCTTGCACTGACTTCATCAGACANCCAACACTAGTATACCTGAATTCGAAATCAGTTATTATTAGTGTCAAATGCGTTGACTTTCCCTTAAGCCAAGGTCTATGTAGGCTTTCCCAATCCCGCCGGGAACCTTTGATTATTTAGCTGGCAACATCACTGAAACTGTCCAATAGTATGAAATAGCTGGGTAGTAGAAAAAGTAGACGGCAGTTAGTCGCACGCGCGATGGCTCAGTGGTTGCAGTACAAATTCGCTGACCGAATGGACAGAAAGGTTCCAACACAACCTCTGCTTCCCGACTCTTCCTGTCTAGGCTTGGGCACCGTGGCAATATCCCAGTCTTTGTGCTTCCCTCTGGTGGCATATCAGTTAGGTGTCGAAAAGGTGCTACGGCTGAACGACTTTTTGCACGCGTGAACCTAAATTGGAAATTCATCGGACACCCGATTGATTTTGACCTGTAACAGTAAGCTGATAAATTGCATGTGGAAAGCTGTTCACTGGCACAACCCAGCCCGGTTGCAACGATTCATTATGGGACATACTACAGGAAATCAAACTATAACTGTTTCTGAAGCAGACAGGAACACTGGTAATCGTGTTCTTTTATACGGTTGAGAATATGCCGCCTCAATAGGACTGTCACTGCGCCTCTTTAATGAGCGTGATGAGTGAACTGCTTCAGGTTATTTGCCGACTCTTTTCTTAAGCGTTTTCCACTTGTCAGCAGCGACATTGAAATGTGTTTTCCGCGCACCGCACCAACAACACCCAAACTCTTCGTGATTTCTTTCACCCTCTTCCGTCAAGTCATGCGTTGTCCACCTCGCGGTTTGTGCCATTCAAAAGAGGTACGTAGAACAGCACTCGTCTCGGTAGACGGTGTTTGGCATACGTAGCACTTGACCGAGCCATCGTAGTAGGTGATTCTGGATGTTTTCCCTGATTGAAGTACCTGCCGGACAACCAGATAACTCGTTTTCTACTCACCTAGGTACTAACACGCTGACACCATCCAAAACCAACCACGCTCTTGAGGCATCAGTGGTCAAAAACGTGAAGATGCCTCACATCATCTGTCCGCAGAGGCCACGTCTCGCACCCATATAACAACACAGCCCTTGCTGTAGCCTGGTACACGCGACCCTTAAGATTTAGTGGTATGCCTTTTTGACGCCGCAAGTAGCGCAGATTAGCAAACGTGATTCAAGCCTTTGAGATTCTTGCACTGACTTCATCAGACATTTCTCTCAGAGCCACCGAGGTGTGTGAAATGTTCTACATACTCCAGTGATTCTCCTTGAATTGTAAGGAACATTTTCAGAGACTGCACGTTCTGAAGCATGACACTGCACTTTAAAGGTGCAAGGCGCATGCCAAAAGATGGTGTGATGGCGGTCAGTTTATTCAATAGGGCTTGTGCTTTGCTTTGGTCTTTAAAGATGAGGGCGATGTCATCTGCGTACTCCAGATCGACAAGGCTCTCACCAGCAACAGTTTGAACACCGGGATTTTTAAGACCTTCCAACGTTTACCTCATTATTTCATCATTGATGAAGTTGAACAAGGTTTTTGTAGGAAAGCTTTTGGAGAGCTCACCATACACCCTCACCCGCCCAGAAGTATGTGAATATAGAGATCGGATTATGTTTACAAACTTCTGGGGCATACCCTGTTGAGCAAGTTTAGTTAACAGAACTGATCGATCAACAGAATCGAACGCACCCTTGAAGCCAAAGTACCAAGTTTGTGGGTCGTTTTTACATGTGGCGTTGCTCTAACACCTGACGGAGTGTGAAGATGTGGTCAACGCAGCCTCAATCCGGTCGAAATCCCGCTTCATTTTCACGAGTCAAGATTTCGCGTGCCGCCGTAAGACGATGAAGAATCAGTGACGCCAGAAGCCTTGTCACAACAGGAGTCAAACCAACACCTCAGTGGTTACTGCATTCACTGCGAGTACCCTTTTTGGGAAGGAGCACTACTATCGATTCATCCCAGTTGTTTGGGATGGTCTCTTTCTATCAGGTAGACCCAAATAGGCTAGACAGGCGCTGGTTGAGAAGTCCACCGCCATCCTTGAAAAGAGCAGATGGAGGGTCGTCAGGACCAGCAGCACGATGACACTTGAGTAGGGGAATACATTCAGACACTTCTGAGACCGAAGGCAGCCCCATATTCACAGTCCACCTTTCTGTTGAAGACCAGGATTCTGGCTTGGAGGTAGCGGGTGGCCAGCTGAATTGTGCCCAGCGGTCCAAGCATTCCGTTTTGCTGCATTAAAGGAAGCCGTTTTGATGCCTGATTATTTCGCTGAAAAGAGGTTTCCGAGAACCAGTCGAACGAATCAAGCGGAACATATTGCGCACGTTTCCAGCATTCATTGTATCTTCTTTTTCTTGGGCCTTTCGGGTCCACCAAACTTCTCGGTCCGCGCGGACACTCAGTTTCACCTGGCGTCAGATGATGCCTCGGGTAGAGTTGTGATTGCGGCCAGGAGGAATCTGTCTCTGGGTCTTCAGCAAAGACACGGTTCTATCAGAGATCCCATGATTGGATGAGTTTGGGTGGGTTGTACTGCAAACAGACGTTCTGGGTTGGAGTAGCGCTTTGGATATTTTTTTCCCACTGGCCGTTCATATCCGACATCGTACCGTTCGTGAGGCATTCGAGGAGCTGTTTCTGGTAATTTCATTTCATTTTTGGGTCCACTAGCTTCTCACTGGTTAAACGAGGCGTGCACGTTTTGCGTTAGTTTAGTACCTCACTGTCTTCAAGGTGATAGCCGGAATATGTGTTTAATTAGTTTGAGATCACCAGATGGCTTATATGCTCTCAGGCACATCGTGGTCCGGGACGATCAGTGTTTTCTTGTTTTCAGTTTGTATACTTTGCGAATTTGGATTCGAAATTCCTGGTTGAAAGACTTGACAAGCAATGTACTGATGCACTTAAGGTGCCTTCATTCCCAGGAACCAGAGATGCACATTGAAATCCAGAAATTGAGAAGTTGATCTCTTTTAATTTGAAACTGATCGAATATGAACTTCAATCTGCGTCATCCTGCATTTCATTGTCCGTATACGTGTACGGATGGACTAAATTTTTGTTGTCGGTGGATACATAATTAAACCAATTCTTGCATATTTATCCTCTTCGCAGTTGGTGGCTATTCTCTTGGCGAAGACTCTCCACACGCAAATTGGTGATCAGCTCCGCCTTTTGCGACAAGAATCCCTCGGTTTATGATTCGTGCATTCACCGTGGAGGGACACAGCGGACTCGGCATCCAGGGATCGATACGGATGAATAAAAAAGTGTGCAATCCATCATTTTGCAACATAATTTGAGAATTCCTATCTCCCTAACTTACTTCCGCATGAACACCAGGTCTTTCGTCCGCTTGTCGTAGGACCTATTCTTTGACTTTTATCGATTTTTCACCGCTCAGATTGTTGTATTACTGTTCAAAAACAAGAAAAATGATAATCTCTTTATGCATGCGTTTCTGGTTTGTTTTGCAAGTGTGAATTTTTGCATTCCATTCGATACACCCTCTTGTATGGTTTGTGGAGCGTGTTTGAGTATGTTTTTTGGGGCTTCGAGTATGGTTTTAAAGGAGGTCTCGTTTAGAAATCTTCCGATTCGATTGCTTCACACGCCTTTTTGATAGTCTTCATACTCGTTCACACCTCCCATCACATTTATCTTCTGTCCGGCTAACCACTGGCTATTCAATGGCTTTACGCGCTTTTTCACTACTTATAACGCCTTCCGTCACTTGTGTCCTTAAAATTGACCCTCTTAGGCGTTTACTTTCAATGCTTGTTCGTCTCTTACTCTCTTTATGGACAAAACCGTCATCGCCAGAGCCATCTTACCCGCGGTACACGGTTCCTACCCGACAAACTACAATGAATAGTCATTCGTGCTTTGTAAAAGGTGTATTTCCACATAAAACTAAGCACAGTGAGTCAATCCTGTTCACTAGAGATTACTTTCTGTCAGAGAAGCGATAATGTGCTGAAAAGACAAGAAGCACTGTACAGATGTTTCGTCCATATCGAAAATCATCCTCAGTACACATCTCTTACAACTCAGAGTTTCGATTTCGTAACCTTGACCGTTTGGCCGCGAATGGCCGATTAGCTCCTTCGAACATAGAAACCACACCTACTGACTGGCTTCTCAAGTGACTGTTTATCCGAAGGAAGTTTGGCTCATCTTGTGCAATTATTCTTTTGAGCTACTTATGGGTTGATGGTGACTTGAAGATATTCGGTCATTATCAATGGAGATTTTGCCCTGTCCGTGGAGCAAGGAAAGCCGAATAACCCGTCACTTGAGGAGCGAGTGACTACTTTAACCCGTGATGTGATTGAATGGTGAATGGCATTGCGTCCCGTCTAACAGAGTGACAATCACACTACTGATTAACCGTTCGCGGCCAAACAGTTAATTGTGCAATCACTGGTCGCAACTTCGTGTCTTCGAAATTCTGAGTTTGGTGAGGTGCGCACTGTTGATGACTCTCGATAATGATGAAATCTCTGTTAAAATTAGATATCTTCGAATAATCAATTATTAATCTGTCCGCCTTCTATCCGATAGGTTGACCTTTCGACCCTCCCTTGATATCCGTGAAATGCGGAGCGCGTCCTAACGAGGATGAAACAGCTCTACAATGCTTACAAACGTTTCAGCATAAGTTGACTCTGCAGCAGGAAATCCAGAAGGGAATGTAAGATAATCCCGATCCGAAGTAGTCGAAAACAAAACCTGGATTTCGACTGTGGCTAACTGTTTTCGCATTCATTTGATTAGTTTAACTAGGTCAGTCGCTGTTAGTATGTTGTTGATGCTCAAATAACAGTTTTATTTTCTCACGTGGACTGCGACGTAGTTGTTCGTATTAACACCAAAACAATCAGTTGACAAATATTCATTGTTTGGAATCACTCAGGTACAGTCCGTTTATCCCTCTCGAGGTCGTTCGCGCAATATTTCCATGTTGCGAACACTAACTGCACGACTTGGACGTTTTGGCTACCTGGTTGCCAGTTTAGGGTAGTACACCGTCGGTATGGTGTAGGACATGTAACTTTTAATCTGTCGGTTGTCCTAGACTAAATACTATGAGTTTCAGACAGGTTTGGTAGATGTTATGTTGTTCATTTTTGATTTACTGGTGTTCACTTTTCCCAACAGAGACATGGGGCGGTTTAGAAATGGAATGTCACTACATGTTAGATTATACTGGAGGGTCATATACCGACTAGTTTTCCAATTTTAAGCGTTTACTGCTTGGTACCACCTATTATGTGACATTTATTACCCGCTTATGTGTAATTCACATAAACTTATGTCATGTGGGCCACACAATGCGACTGGTCTCAATAATGGGCTCGCTTTAACCTCTCAGCCAGACTGCCTAGCTATAGTTTGTTGGGTACAGGTTATCATTATTGAGCCAGTGAACGGTATTTTGCTGACGCCATCTCGCTTTGACACGATGCTCGTTGATGTTCACAAAGTGTAAGACAACCAGCGATTTTCGAATTTGCCCCCCTTCATTCCTTTTTTTCAAAACCAACAGCGAAGCGATGGAATAGAATACTGGTCTCACTGATGATCAGGTCACTATGCTTCCCATCCGGGAATTTCAATTTTTCACACCCAGTCGTCGTAAGTCAGCGAATTCCGCGTTTTCGCGCATTCGCTGTCTTTGACACAAACGTGGCTTACGTGTATCTCTTATCTTCCAATTCATTTCATTCGCTTGTCAGTCAATTAGTTAGTTTCGGTAGTCCTTCATACTTGCGTAATCGAAAAAGATATCTAGCTAGTTTTACTGGGGACTTCTGTTGTATCAGACAGATAGTCGCGTTTGCAGCCTTACGGTCATAGCGGAAAATGGGCCATCGATAGGCAGATCGTCAACAACAGATTTTGAACAATATCCGTCCTTTAGGTTCAGAAGTTCAATAACTAGCCAAAACGAAGATAACACTCCAGTGAATCCCCTTCAGAGAGAGCACCCACATGTTTGAAATCTTTATCTCCAGTGGATTCTCTGTAAATTACTTGGAGCATTTTCCAGATGTCCGTGGGTTCGAAATCTGTTTTTCAATTTCCTTTGGAAATGCATCCAGTTGTACGTCTTTACTGGAACTTATTCTCGCTAAGATAACCCATCATAGTCTCCGTATCTGTTCTGGTAGCACCATCTTAGAACCAGTCGGAGAATTTCGTTTAGAACTGAGCTCCGCTGTTGATATCCTCATTTATTGTTTGAAAGTAACTCGGAGGAGCCAAATAAATTTAAATTTCGCGCCTTTCGTTTGCCAGTGCGGAGTTCTGCGGTACCAGTTCCATAGTTTTTGTTGGCGCTCTCTGTCGCCAGACGTGAAGCCAAATGGACTACATTACATAAGTTCCCGAGTTCTGCGGTACCAGTTCCATAGTTTTTGTTGGCGCTCTCTGTCGGCAGACGTGAAGCCAAATGGACGACATTACAATAAGTTCCCGAACGTGCATAGTTATGTGGGACTGTAGGTTTTATCCGAACACCTACCTAGACTCCAATCAATCTTCAGTCTGCGCGAGAATCATCATTTCCTTTGGTGGACGCCCCAACAATGCATTAGGAGAGTTGATTAAACTCAGCGGGCGCAGTCCTATGTGCTGGACAACTATCAGGCCTTCACAGTCAGCTCTCTAAGCTTGAGATTCCTCGATGATTGGAACGCGAGACTGCGGATGGGAAAGTCTTCGTCTGAATTCAACCTTAGCTGTTAAATTGCTACTGCTGTGCTTGAGAAAATTGGCAATATCTCAGCCCACGCACACTCTGGGTTGCACGGGAGTTGTGCACCGGAAATTTCACATGGCTGAATCGTTTTTATTGTTATTGTTCCAGCGCTCCTGGTGACATCACTGCCGGTTAGACATGCGGCTTTAATGTTCGGCAAAGGTATACACTCGTTCTTATCTATAAGATGGAGCACTTGCAGCCACCACCTTGATGCACACCTCATCAATGTTGCTTCAGAACTTCTGACACTTATCACGCTTCACTGACTACTGTACGAACAATCAATCCATTAAGAACGGTCAGGTTTCCGTTTGAACTGAGGCTACGTTCTTCACGTGTCTAGCTATTCAACAACTGCAGAAACTGCGCTACACATACCGGTCTTGACATGCAAATACTTTCGGAACTGTCACCAGAACTTTTGTGTGAGGCTCTATCACGGGTACCGGAGTTCTCTTAGAACTGCCTACTATGCTGAGGGCACTCTGTGCGCAAATGCTTTAGCAACTATCCTTGTTTTTCTGTTTCAAGCGGCGTCCGACAAATCTCATGAATATCTGCATAACCGTTCAATTTTGTTATCCATCACACCCTCACAAATGAGCTACCACCGTCCAACCTAGTATATGCCGTGGTACGATTTAGTACTGGTTTGTGACTGCGAGAATGGGAGGCGTGATGTCATCGATAAGCTGACTTCTTGCACTTGTTTCTGTGGATTCCGTTTCCGGTTTCACAAAGGCAGTGTTGCCAAACCATGCGGGCAGCTCGCCTACGTTCTCGCTCGGTTGAATCACATTAGAGGTGGTTGAAAAAGTTTAAGAGGTGCTTCAGGCTCTCCTCCCAAGGGAACCACTACCTCAAATAAGGACACCACTCCGGTCCCGTACGATTTGGCTTGAATTTTGAGAGGTCGCCCAACAAAAGCTATTGTAGGTGTTCATGTGGTGCAATTTCCCCTCCAAAAGACCAGAACGAGACATCCGTCTCTTGTGTTCTGGATGAATCATCAATTGAACACGTGACTAGTCGCAATACACAAAGTTGTTTCCAAACCATATACCGATTCCAAACAATCTTCAGTTACTTGAACGTTGAATACTACAGTACTCCGCCAAAACGGGGATTGGAGAACGTATGGTAGCATTTCTTGTTCACGATTTAGTAAAATCTGCAAAGATTGGGCACTCTGCCAAGTAATAGTCTGATTACACGTTAGTAACACGCGGTATGTTTACGCACTCTTAGGGACTGCGATCCACGGATGCCTGCGGACAGTCTCTTGCATGATGATGCAATAGCCCCTAGCTTGAACTCTTGGGCATGATTACTTGGATGGGCCTTCTGGTAAACAAATGTAGCCGTCAGTTCATTGCAGGTATCCACGATACTAAATATAGTGCTCGCTCAAGAGACCCTATCTCTAATTGGGGCCAATTCACTCCGGTGCCTTGGCACCAACCTTAAAATCGATATCTTCAGAAAGATCAGTCAGTATCTTATTGTGCGAAATACCATCCCAGCAAAGACCAAGATGCGAGGTTCGTGCGCCGGGTCTCTATTTGTTTCCATACCATCTGTGTGTCTGATTAATAGCACGACAATTGATCGAGTCTCAAAATGATTTTATTCTGTATAGCACGTGACTACTGGAGCTCACCCATTTGTAGGGACAACATTTCAACCGATACATTCTACCACCAGATTTTTTCAGGAGGAAGCAAGTATTAAAAGAAGTCACCTTTGGTGGATCCAAGCAGTGGTCTTCTGCCAGGAAACAAGTTTACCATCTTTTACTCTAGAGAGACCGTTTGGGCAGATCAATCGGGAGTGATCTTCTGTAAGCGTCTCGTGTCCAGAAAGCCAAAATTGTACGCTCGCCCCCTTTTGAGAAACCATTTTAAAGGCCCCAACATAACAGTCTGCGAGTGGAAGATAGTTCACCGCTGAAGTAAAATTTACAGGCTAGAAGTGGTCTTTTTTGAGGGTGAAGACAATCGACTTCAGATAAAGATCACCATAACACAACTTTACATTAGCGTATCATCTGACGATGGAGAACTATGCACATCGAAAATCTAGTATAATTGAATAGTTTTGAGCCTCTATACTGGGGTTTACACCACTGGATAGAACGCCTATTGCATTGAGATCAAGTACAAACTTGAGTGCACAAGAAAATTCCGGACGACGTTTTCAAGCCGATAGTTTTGTAATGAAGTGATTATTATCATGTGCGACAAAAGCGGCCTTCGCAGAAGTCTGTGCTACCTTGTAAGTTTTACTAAGTAGGATCACAATATCAAAGTACCAGCTTCAGTGTCTCGTCGAAATATTTTGACAGTAAATGGAACAAGTTAGGGGCTTTCGCTATGATGTGTTTATCACTGTTTACTGTGTCCCAACTTTGCTGATGCTGATGCAAGCAAAAAGATTGTGGTATGATTTCAATCCAACCCCGAGTCTTGTACTAATCATGATTCAGGCTGCGTTTCATATGGTGCGAATCCTTGAGGCTGACATTGAACTATTGCAAGTCAAGGGAAACTTTTTCGTCACTCCTAATATAAACCGCACGATACGATCTTGTGACCACGTTTATTCCTTTATCTCGTGCCATGGTTGACATGTTGATCGTTTATGGCCAAAAGCACCCTGTCACCTGGTTATTCTGTTTCTGCTAGTATATTCGGAACTCCTTTTTGAGCCTGTATGCATCGGTATTGCTCTCAATGCGTCCCATGCAACCTTGTGTCTGTAGGAAGTAATTTGCGAACTGCCTATTGATAAGCTTTCAGCGCACCTCTTTATCCGTTGATTCTCACATCCGTATTCAATTTGGCCTTGCTTTTAAAGGCACCTGACCTTCCTCTCGTTACATTCTCCCAAACGCTTGAATGGTGCTTGTTGATCACATTTTTTCGTGCACTCATTGCAGCCCTCCAGATGCCATTGTTTGCGAAACGCTTTTCCGTACCCAAATTTCCATCACGCAAGGCAGCCAGTATGACCAACTTATCTCAGCTGGATTCGGTTACAAGGAGCCAGGAGTTTGGTTTAGACTTCGGTCCTATCAGGACCAGATTGAGTGGCCGAAACCTCGTTTTTCGCGATGGTAACTGGATAGTGGGTGAGTGTTTTGTCTCTGGTTTAGAAACCAATCATGATCTGTGTGCTGCAGCATCCTTCCATTGTAATCCGTAACAATCTTGCTTTTCTTGTGATTTCAGAGGGAGGTGATACCCAGAACGCTGCGAAGTTAGATCGAGAATCCTTCCGAATCAAGAAGGAGAACCATCAACTAGTTGAAGAGAACAACCTCTTGAAGCTCAAAATCGATATACTACTGGATATGGTCAGTAGCCCCGTTTATTTGTTCACACCTAAGATCCCTGATTCCCCTTGCTTTCCTTTACGAAGCACCCTCGCGTTCCTTCCGCTTGAAAATGTCAACACAACAATTTTCAGAAAGATGCTTCCCTCTGTGTTGATGATCAACCATACAAGTAGCGGTTATTTCAGTCCGTAACTACAAACGAATCTAATTTCCGTAAAATGGATTTCGATGTCCAAGGAATGACTAGCATGAGTGGATGTCAGCAGTTTGTTTCACGATCAGTGACACAGCGTCTCCTCAACAAGGACAACCTGTTAGACCCGGTCAGAATGATCTATTTCATGCATGAACAGAGTTGTTAGTTCAACATAACGACAGAGTATCCATACAATCAGCTGGTTTGTTTTCAAAAGCTATATGTTATTTTCGTACTTCAAAGGATTCCGTTCATAATCACCATGATATTATACACAACTTACATCTTGACAACTGAAAGACAAAGCGGTGTTTGTGCAACGTATTCAGTTGAAGAATATCATAAACAACAGATTCAGTTTAGTCTCCCGTCAACACTAACTTGAATCACAACTGCGTCTATTTCGCCACTTGCGTACAAGGTGTTCATGCAGAACATAAGGGTGACGGAACCTCTGTCACTACGCCTACCTGACAAGCTCCAAGAACGGCGAAACCAGTGGTGCGCTATCGAACAATTTTCAGCAAGTAGTGTGCGATGTCGTAGAATATTATTCTTTTCGAATGAATCACCTTTGAGATTTGGTGGTCCAATTTCGACAGAGTTAACTTTCCAATGCTGTCGAAACTGTCACCGATTCCGAATGTCTCAGCTTCTGTTAGCTAGCTTTCGTCGGCTGTTACTGAATTCGATTGTTTTTTTTTTCAATACTTGGGTAATCTTAAGCCTTTATTTTTAAATACATGATCTTCACAGAAACCTTCAGGAACTACTTACAGCTTTTCACTAAATGAAATGAATGAATGAAATTTCCCGATGATTAATTCTTCTTCAGCACTTCGTTGACTCGTGCGGTGGTTGTCCAAGATAGCTCAGTCTTTTTGAAAAGTTCCTATGTTGTATGCACGTGGACAGTATCTCATGAAAGCGTTCGTATTCTGTCTAGTTGAGTTTGTAGGTTTTCTGCTTTGAAGGACTATAAATGCCCATCAGTTGAAAAAAAGCCCCGAACCGATTAAGAAGTCTACTTCAAGGTGCTTCAATTGATGGTTCACTGCGGGTACCACTGGTAGATTTCTTTGGTTTTCATAGGCTTATGAGTATTATGACAGTTTACTTGGAGTAGGGAAGTTGGGCAAGGTTAAGTGCAATTCAGATGATGACTACTCCTGATAACCGCACACCAAGACGTGTCAGCTCGACTTAGCCAAAACCGTTCTCCACACGCTTGCCTGTTCCACGCCTTCTGTTATCACTGGGATGCTTGGTGATTTCTACAGCCTCGGCCGTCAGTCTCTGTGGTGTGGTCCGTAGTCCTCGCCTCAAAACCTCATTTTCTTAATCTATTTTGTGTCCTGTGTCCAATACATGTTCCGCCATTGCCGTATCTTTCAGTAACGCTCGATATTCATCCGTGTTTCTCGGCGGCCTGTTTATTTTTCTCTTAAGCTATCCGATTCTGGTGTGAAGTTCCCTGGCCTTAGTGCAGTCATTACACCTAATTTTGCAGACACAGTCCGTGGTTCTAATTTCCGGGAGGCGATCCTTCAAATGTGTCAGTGCAGACCGCAGTGTTCCCCCTATGGAAAGCCATATGAATGTCCTTTTCCGTGAACCACTCACCTACGTACTGGGTTCAGCACACAACTGCTGGTCTACTGGTGACTTGACGTGCCGATTCTATGAATGTTTCTGAGCATTACTAAGGTGAAATATTCCATTAGAATGCGTTACTTTTCATAGTTTGCTCGACTACCCATGAGTCATGAGTACCGCTGTCCATCCGGTTGTCGTGCTCAATAGAGGTCCCTGTAACACTCGAAAACTGTGAGCTAATCTTAGTTCCGGACATAATCGGGTTGGTATATACTGCTCTACTTAGTTTGGTGTGCGTATGACAGAGTATGGCAAAGATCTCTGAAATTTGCCGTTCCCTTTTAGCAGAAGCAATCTTCTCGCCCGTGTGTAGTCTGCGGTACCGGAGCGCAATAGTCCGTTTGAAAGGGAGACCCATCTTCTGAAGACTACTGTACATAATCTAAAAATTCAATTCACTCAGTGGCTTGGGGAAAAAAACCCTATGGATTTTATATTAGTGTGAGCCTACGTAATTTGCAAGTGGGTTAACTCAGTATTGTGTCAGCATAACTCGCAAGACCTGCCGGATCCACCGAAGACCCTGAATGTATGTCAGTTGGGTTTTCGACAATGGTTTGCATAGAAAAGTACGCTTTGCCACTGGTCACCATTAAGTTCCATAGCTGAAAACCACCATCTGGTGCATCAATGTGTGCTGATTCAAGTAGCTCTATCTCCGCCTGCACTTCCCCATCAGTTGTCGTAACTTGCAAATGTTAATAAGGACAGAACTTTCTCAACAACTTTTCCTTTACGGATTAGAAAGGACTGATCCTAAATATCTCACGCCCTGGTCATTCAACGGTTGACTTTGGCTTCGGGCGAACGGTCTGAAAACGGTTCAATGATCGGATGTGCACGCAGATGCATCTGGCGTTCGAAGTAGCGCCAAATGCCAACTGAGTGATAAATTCAATTGTCATCCCTGTTTTCAAGTGAGATATTAAACATATTGCAGGAAGCGCAGAAACGTCAGTCTTATTATTATCATCTCAGAAATTCTTGCGCTCACCATATTGTGGAGACTCACCAGTGCTCGTGAAAAGCAAATATATGCAAATCAGGTAGGGTTCCGTCCAGATTATGGGTACACTGGCCGTCTCTTCACCGTTCGACGATTCCTTGAGCTTCTCCTTACAGCCGAATAATGAAGACCGCTTTGCTCAGTCCGAAAGCACAGCAGGTAACTCTGTTAACCGCTCAGTTAATGGCGCTACTCAGTCAACAAAGGCATTTCCACAACCTTTAGCTCACTGTACTTCAACACCTGTTGACGAATAAAGGTCTACGGAAATCTCCCTCCTGGGTTTACTACCACAAACGTGGACCGGTAGAGGGCCGTTGTTCACCTTGGCAGTCGAAATGTTTGTGAGGGAATAGTCTAAAATGCCTGTTGCCCCAGTAGTCGAAATACTCTCCTGAGAACACCTCTGAGTTTGAGTCCACGAATTATATCGTGCTACGAGGTTCGGGTCCTAGGAAATGAAAATTGCTCTAACCAAGTTGGTTCACATGGCCACCGGTTTCGGGTTGTGCTTTGTGCTGGAGCTCGCTTTGGAATCGCTACCTGAACGCCGTAGCCATTTACATGGTTTAGGACCACAACGGTACACAATTTATTGTGTTGTAGACAAGATATTCATCTTGCGTTCGTTTGATTATTCTGTTATGGTCCACATCGTATGCACATTGGTTTATAACGTCATCGGAGTTGTCCGGATGATTTACCCTCTCTGTTTTCAGGGACTTTTTCTAATTTGCTGAGCTGGGCGATTTCGTTCCAACCACTTTCACTAACTGTTTCTTCTGTTGTTTATATCTGTGACTGAGTGCGAAATGCATGGTTGACCTCTGCTATCTAACTGTTGACTTATTTAAACGATTCGAGTTATCATGAGTAATCAGATTAATTATTCTGATTATTCATTCGTCTCTGTGGATGTTCTTTTAATTACTGAGCCGATGCTTAGCACTTCGACCGAATGTTTTAAGGGACCTTTGTTCGGGTAGATCAGTCACTTACGTCTTCCACATCTTTTGGGACTTACCACCTGGGCATAGAGGAGGTGTCTCGCTTCATAAGTATTTTCCACGAAATTAGCGAATATACACATTTGCAAACTAATTGGGTTTTTCGAGAGACTCTCCTGGAACCCAGCTGAGTCTCGCGTATGTGATGTTCTCAATTTAACTATGCGCCCACGTTTCCTCGTGCAGTTCACTTCTATCATCGCAGTCATGGACCTCTTACACTATCTCATTGACATCTATTCATCCACCTTTTTCAGCTGGCAGAGACAACTGCCGAGGTCCATCTGCAAGGGAATGAAATTGAAAACCTTCGTGCCATGCTGAACAAGAAGCCTCAAACCAATCCTATTCAAGTCTCTTAAATAATATGTTCTATCAACGACCATTCATTTTGCACTTTGTTTTTGCTGATATATCTGTGATCCTACTTTTACTGATGGAACCTCAAGGATCCCCGCACGTCCATCGCCTTCATCTCTTTACAAGTCGTCTACACGATGCTGTCACGGTCAACCTTGTTTTACATCCTCCTGTCTGCAGTAATATTTTTGTAAATATAAAACAAATGTATCCTATTGTACTGGTTGGTGTGTCCGCTTCACACTAGAAAAACTTAGATGCTTCGGGTGGGTGTGGAAGCGTACAGCGCCCAAGACGGTTGTGCCTATTTACCTCATTGTGACTCCCACCGCCCGACACTGTGTAGCCTCTTAGTTTAATTCTACTTTTTCGTAGTAGATTTCTACAAAATCGTTCTCAGCAGACCGCCTGCCAAGTTCTTCGTATGTCATGGAACCCTTTTCTTTCTATGGTGAGCCGAGTAGGGACAACCAAAAGTCAATTAGTTCGTGACCCACAACACTATATAGAGACCTTGAGCAGTGCACATATTAGTATTGGTAGCCGTATTTGCTTTGGTTTAGAATCACGGGACGAGATATTAGGGACGCTGATAATCGTGAAACCAGTGACAGTCACGTGACTCTTCGAATTTCGTTTCATCAGAAAGTAGACAACATGAGGGCACGTACTTGCTTAAGTCATAGTCCCTAACATGTGGTTTTTCCGTCACTATTCGTCCCAAACTAGCTGAAGCAAAAACGAACGTGTACAGGGAAAATGGCTTAGTGGTGAATGACCCAAGTGAACCTCGTTTGTAAGGTTCCTCATTTGGGGGACAATCGGTGTACCAACCCCTTCCAGAACAGTGACTTCTCAGTCATTTCCAAGCTTTGTCTTACGTTTACCTTGCTTTTGTTGCCTCACGAAGAATAACTGGATATGTTCTGACTGACCTACGGTTACTGGAACAAGTCCGGTTGCCCCAAGTTAGCTTAACGTCATCCCCAGTGGATACTCTACTTGACATGTCGTATAGTTGACTCCGACCAAGCTTTGAGGATACTTTAGGATTAGATATTCTGATATATCGCTCTTTTATCAGACTGTTTGCCGGAATTGTGACTATTAAACAGCTTACGAGGGAGTATTTTCTGTTAAGACGTTTGTCATTTTACACGGGACGCTGGTTCCAGATGAGCAGCTCGGACGAGTATGGATACTTTGTGGCAAACTTCGAATATCCGGCCTCCTCTGAGTGAATGTGTAAAGCGCTAACTCTGTTTTTCATATGCAGATTTCATATCTAGTTAGCCTGTTTGCTTCGGTGAGAGCAATAGGGTAAACGGTACCTCAGGGTAATCAGTCTTGGTGAAAGAGAAAGTGATGGTTAGTGTAAGGGATTTCGACATACTGTGAGAGCGTATTGCGATTCGAGGTGCGCGGGACCGAAGACCACCGAATGCCGACAACCTTGATCGAGTTAGGAGGGATTAGAATGTTTAAAGCAATCAGTGGCTGCATGCATCCTTGTTTTCATGTCTGGATGAATACGTACGAACATGACC